TGTGGGGATCATTAGAAAAGCCTTTTAGAGAATCACCCTTCATACCTCCTTTGTGACCTTTGAAGGTCACCACGCAGCTAGCATCTTCAGCTGACCAGATCTTCAGCTGGGCATCCATTCCCCCACTCAGAACCACAAGGCCTGATGGGAAAAACCTGCAACAATTCACATCAAACACATGTCCTTCCAATACTCTCTGGAAAAACAAAAGAAAATTCCATGCTAGTTCTCTTGTCCATTCCTTGATGTTCTCTAATCTCCCATATCTTTAGTTTCTTACATGCTATACCCAAGTGCTGGGTTTTAACAACAACTAAGAATGTCCAAAAGGATCTCTTAGTTCATTTGTCAACAAGGTAAGAGCTGTTGACTCCCTTTCCTGGGATTTAGCTACAGATGTAGAATTGAATTCCATGGCTCTCACAGCCATCCCTAGTGTTAGTTCTAAGTATAAGGAGCTGAAAAGGCTTGAGGAATCCTTTACTCATGTCTTCTTAAAATCCTCTATATAAGTTGGAGACTCAGCCATACATTCAGTCTAAGAGTCTAGCTATTCTATCTTGGAAGCCGATCACTGAAGACAGTTCAAACTCAGGGCATACCCACTTAGACATTCTCTGGCCTGGCTCCTCAACTGCTTCAGCCCCACTCTGTTCTGGCAATTCACTAAGCTTGAGAATGGTTCTCTGATTAACAAATGTGAGAGCAGAAATCAAATGAAATACAATGGTCCTACATTTTTAAAATGGGCCATTCTTCCATGTCCCAGGCCAAGGTTTCTCAGACCACCCTTCATGTGTAAGACCCTAAAAGTGTATCCAAATCCTTTACTCTGAGTTCTCCATTGGAAGCCTGCCAGATCTTCATGCTCCCATCAGTACTACAAGATACACCAAGGCCTCCTCCACTGGAAATATCCAGGCATGTTATCTGTTCAAAAGACAAAACAATCAATGTGTTATAAATAATGAAATGCTTTTATTCCCTTGAAATATGTCATAAACCTCCCTTGTTTCATACTCTTCCAAGACTTCTGCAAGACTATGCTTCCCAACACAAAGGACATACGTCTGTTATGAAGGTTGAGTTATCATCACCAATCTCCCACCAAGGCTGCAGCCAACACCTTTAACTTCTTCAAACAAAAAGATATTCCTGTAATCATCTGTAAACTTTACCTAAAAAGTTTTCCCTATGCCCATATCATTTCCATAGTTTCCATCTTTTGCTATTTTATTTTAAAATTAAGATGCTTCTCCTAATTCTCAGAAACCCACTTACACAAAAAATAATCTTCCAAGATGCACCAGAAGGATTCAAAGAAGAGCAAAGGTATTTACATATATACACCGATATGTATAGATATAGATCTTTCAGAATAAATAATAGTGAATTCACAGATTCACTTTTTTTTTTTTTTTT